ATATATATATATATATATATATATATATATATATATATATATATATATATATATATATATATATATATATATATATATATACATAATCATTCCTTTTAGCTCAAACAGCAAGGCATCCAAGACCATTGATGCCTCCAGCTCTTTAAATTCCTCTGTGGCTTCTTACAGGTGTATATGTCACAGGAAATGACAAATAGGCCCAATGATTCAAGTAAACCAAACTTAATAAGAGTGAAAGATTGATATTTCATTCAATTATTTCATTTAGTCGATATAACTCCCATTACGGAATAAAGATGTCTAGGATCAATATCTATATTCTTCAAATTGCATTGACACAGAAAAAATGACCATATCTGAGGCAACATGACGGATTAACAGTCATCGACATGAGTTCACAAAATTCAGGTTGGTGGATCTAAAAGTTGAAAGGTATTAGGTTGATATAGGTCTGTATAGGGTTGGGGTGAACAATTTCAGAACTAATGCTGGAGTTAGTGAAAATAGTTATAATCTAATCTAATCTACAGGAGATGCACCCTTACAACAAACTATATAATGAAGATACTCACATGCACGCAGCCTTGTCTCACCAGCTGCCGGAAATCTCAGCAGCCACAGTGCGCTATTTGGAACACGCTTGAGAATATTGCACCTATTCAATTAAATGGTCAGCAGGAAACACAACCTTGGAGCATAAATAGAAAGAATATTGTGCAGTGCAAAGATGCAAACAAGAAGACACCATGATAGATTAATGACAATCAAACACAACTTTAATCCTAAAGAACCAACAAACGAAGATTAACCACATGTGATAAAAGTACCAGGTATTGAATATATCTGGGTCCATCTTGTACAGTTGGTTGAAACATGCGAAAATAAATTTATCTTCTGGTAAACCATAATCTGCTCGCTTATGCCGACATACAGGATTCAGAACATCACGATTTTTCTGTTATGTAAGATTTATACAGAGCATAATTAACAGGCTTAACTAACATAAAGCATTAGACAGATGGATTTGAAACTTAACCTGTTTATAGTCATTCACAAAATAACAATGAGGAAGATGGACTAGCTTCTCCGAGTAGATTTGTGACAAATGTGTAGGAGAAACAAACTGCAAGAAAAAAGAAATAAGGATATAACATAGTAACACATCATGAAGTAGAATAAGTAGTTAGATTAGGAAAGGTTGGAAGAAAGTATCTGTTGTACCTCATCAGTGACTAAGTAGTCAATGTAACTTGCACCTGTGGTCCCTGGAAAACCCATGTAAGAAACCTGGATCGGTGCTGGTTGCATTGCGAAAATTTCATTCCTTGCACCCTAAATAATCACATTATGTTAACACAAATCAGATGACATAATGCACTTAATCGTAAGACTAAAAATGATGTTGAGTGATCCATAAGTGCAGATGGGTTGCTTGATGAATTAGCTGGATTAGACTCTAGCATATTCCCTTCATACAAATTGCCCTTCTAAAATTTAGATATAAGCTTGTATGAACTAACATTTCAAGACCTGTTCCCCATTCTTTTATGTGCCCTATTCATGACTAACTTTCCTCTCACAGCACTGAAAGCCTCTCTGCTCTCTCACTCCACTGATTGTCAGCTGTCTACAACAGCATCAACCACAATGAAAGCAACAACCAAGTAATTTTCCATCCACCATCATATCCACAGCAACAACCTGACATCACCACCGTCTTTACTGCTTCCCAGCCCAGATGGGGGTCAACCTCCATGTGATGTCCCTTTCCACACCCAAGATGACTATTTTGGACCTCAACTGCTCCCTATTTGCCATCACTCAAGAATTGCAACAAATTTATCCTTTCTTTTTTATTTTCTAGTGGGGGTTTTTGATAAAAATTCATTTAATTACCATCATGTTTACTATATTGTATTTGTCTTTTTGACTAGGGACAATCTCAACACTATTCAGCCCTGTTCGAACAAGCAAAGCCCAAGCCCAAGAAACAACAGCCTTCTCACCACAATCCAATTCCTAATAGGACACGGATAAGGGCAGCCCTCATACAAATAGGGGCAGCCACCAAGCAAGAATGGTACAACAACCCGACAAGAGAATTCTAAGTGCTGCGTCCCAAAAAGAAGACCCTAAGAAAGAGAATCCTAATTGTTGTGCCCCACAAGGAAAGTCCTTAAGCCTTAAGGACTTAGGGCACCCCTCACCCTATAAAACAAGGGGTGCACCCCCATAAAGAAGAAACCAAGGAAGCCCTCAGCAAGGAGCCAGTTGGCCCTAATTTTGCAATCTCAAAGCAATGAAGAGCAACAAAGAGAAGAGAGGGAAGAATTCTGCGCCGCAACAGCCAACTTCTTTCGGCCGCAGCCTACCTCCTCGCGTTCCAGCAGCCCAAAGCTTCGCCCCAAAGCTTTGTCTAGCTGCTGCAAGAAGTCCTCAATGCCTACTGCCTGCTGTCCAACCCTCAAGAGAAGTTCCAACAGTGAAGAGAGGAGACCGAGGACCGACAACAACCACAACTTGCCGAGAACACCGACATGCTACCCAAAGACAACCTGCATTTTCACACACCCATAAGCTTTCTATCACGCTTGTAATTCCGTTGTTTTAAATATTGTTGTTAGCATTTTAACTTTACTAGTAATAAAGGTTATTTTCTTTTGGTTTTATGCTTGGTATTTCTGCAATAGTTCTCCCCTCCGTCAAAACTTCCATCCGATATGGTATCGTTAACGGATCGTTGAACCTGACCCCCAAGCAGATCACTTTTGTAGGCTTTGTAGCAAATTTACAATATATAAATTTTTTTGTGAATGCCCAATGATAACATACATGAGTAATGTCCAAAGCCATTAACCAAAATGTATAAGCATATACCTTGGTGTAACCATTAAGATTAACTAGGATGTGTATCTTATCTTCATTGATCTTTCGAGCAATCATGTCAGATGACATTGAACAGACATCAATGAAATGTTCTGCTTCAGACTGGATCCGCTGCCTCCACTCAGTCCCATCGTTTTGACTCAATGCATAACAAAATACCTGGACAAAGCATGTTTAGTAAGGAGATACAAAATGAAGAAAAATACCAGAAAAGTTCAAAAAGGCAAATGAACCTCCACATTCTCTCGATTGTGCATCCCAAACACTGAGCCCATAAGATGCGACAGTGGGTGATTACCGAAATCACTGCTCACATATCTGCAAAGTTGTCAAGACTTGATGAGTAAATAAACATGGGTACTGCATGCACAGATGATACGGTGGTACCTACCCCAACCTTAGTCTCCCATTTTTACCCTCAGACTTGACAGGTACACAAGGTGGATGAGTGAATGCTGGAAGCACATAACGTGAAGCAATTAAAGAGCAGTGTGCTGCATACTTTCGGCTACAAGGAAATAAAAAAAATAAGAATCAACTTCAGGAAATATGTTATTTGAAGAACAGCACCTTAAGCAAAGAAGGTAGAAAAGTTATTATTACATTCAATTGATAGTCACCTTATCTCTAGTGCAAGCATAGGATCAATTGGGTATGCAATAGCATGAAATGGTTGCACACTTGGAAGAACTGACATCTGAATGTATAAATAGTATTAGAGCCTTTCCAACTCTTACAGATTTGCAATTAACAGATAAATAAATAAAATAAAACTATTCTAATTGGATACCTTTATCTGCCTTCTAATGATGGCCTCAACTTCCGCAAACCTCTTCTCCCTGTCATCCCAGTCACACACACACTGTAAAATGAAAATAAGAGAAAAAAATTAAGGAGCGACAAAAGATGAGGATAAAAAAATTCACCTTAACAAAATATATTTGCTCCATAATATCTGTGTATACTTTAAACCAATGTTTTTAAAACCATACCGCCCGGTCCACTAGCAGATCGGTACGTGGACAGCCTGCTACTGGGCGGTATCAATGATATAGCCCCACATTGGACGATACGAGATTGTATCGGATGGTAACAGTCGAAACCAACCGTTACCAGCTGTAACAGTACTTAACGGTCAATTTGACCGTTGGAGCTCTCCTCAAGAGTTTTTAAACCCTTTCCTCTCTTCTATTTCAATCCATTTCACTGTCTCACTCTCTCACTCCCTTGAACTCTCTCACTCTCTTGCACAAGGCTACTCTTTAAAGCCCAAAAAAGATGTGACACTATTCTTACGTAATTTACATTAGGCTTGCTAAAACTATAGTAAATGTATATTTGATCCTAACTTAAAAACCCTATCCTAACTTTTTCTTTTTCTGTTTTTCAAGTATTTTCGAAGGGTTTGATATGTATTTTAACCATACCACTCGGTATGCCATATCGAGCAAAACTTGGTACAACGGTACGATACAGTATTCAGAACCTTGATTTAAACTGAACTAACAACATAGAAGTTGCACAAGAAAAGTTGCATAGTTTCAACTGAAGCTGGGTTGGAGCAAGATGGACCACTGATGACATACTATGACAAACAATAGCATATACTTAATTTCAATATGCTACATGTATACAGACGAATATTTTCAACTAAATCATTTTCCAGGGATAATACAGACAAATTAGAAAGAAAATGATAAACGAGTAAAAAAAAGTCACCAAAATATTTTCTCAGGAACAAAACAAACAGACAAAACAAGGCACAAATAAGCACAGAAAGATATATGATGCTTAAAAGCCTGCAGTTTTTACCTGTAAAGTATGTAGAAGATTACAAGTTGCTTCAGGAAAATCTGGACGTAGCATCAATGCCTGTCTATAACTTTTAATAGCTAATTCCACAAGTCCACTGCAAATATTTCATTCCCAAGAGAATCAATACGTGTAGATAATGTAAGGATGCAACATAATCAAACATGAGGATAAATTCAAAGATTAAAAATAAATAAACCTGTCTTTATAAGCTGAAGCCAAATTTGCATGGGCTTCGGCCATATTTGGTCTGATACTCACAGCTCGTACATAATCCTGAATTGCTTCAGTAACTCTACCAATCTCCTTAAATGTATTTCCCCTATTAACAAGCCCATCAGCAGCTGAAGGATCAATGCGAAGAACTTCGTTGTAGCAGGCTATAGCATCTGCATAATTTCCCTGTAGTACACAGAGATGCATCATTAATTTGAGAACTAGCAGGGAAGCTAATATTTAAAATGAGAAGGTGAGAGACTTTTGAGTCCTTCCATTAGAAAGCATCAGAAAATATGAAGTAATTGAAAACAGGAAGAACATAAATGTAGCAACCTGTTGCTTGTAAATTATAGCTAAATTGCTGAAAGGAGCAGATAGCCCTGTTGTAACTGATAAAGTTGCCTTATAGCACGAAGCAGCATAGCTCATCATGTTGCTGATATGACAAGAGAGATATCTTTTAGGGAAGAATAATATAATTATCCAAATAACAATATTAATCAAACATTTCGTCGAGCTTACCACTCCATGTAAATATTGCCAAGGTTTGTCAAAGCTTGTGGGTGATTAGGTTGGAAAGCAAGGCATGACTTTGAACATGATACAGACAATCTCAGATGATAAGGAAAAAACAATACTAAAATAAAAATCAAGCATTTAAAAATAATAGTTACCCTGTAGCAGCTGATAGCCTCTTCCACTCGTCCAGCATCTTTGAGAGCATTTCCCTTTGAGTTGCAGTGACAAAGTTAAGCACATCATATTACTTTGGAAAATATATAATTTTTTTATAATAAAAATAGCATCATAACACAAAAGACCGTCACTATACCAGATTATTATAAGCTTCAATGAAAGTTGAATCACAATCGATAGCTTCCTTATAATGTAGAATTGCCAAATCAAGGCGACCTTGTTCATAATAGATGCCAGCAAGACTCCCTGCACCCAGTATATCCACTTAAATTTAGAAGAGATCTAGTGCCACACCATACAAATTGAGGAAATATTATACAACATATTATGATATCATCATCATATTTCAATGGACCTCTGTGTGATGCATCTGTGTCTGGCATCAATAAAAAACAGTTTTCTGTTGCACGGAATGCCCTAGTGTAATAATATGTATGGTCAGCTAAAACTACAACTAAAACGAACTCTATCTAGCTTGTTGCTAAGTTGCCATGCTCTTGGCACATTATTACATAAAGTGCTAAGTGCCTGTATGAGGAATAGCTTGGCCTAACTCTAGATGAGTAAAACATAAAGTCTTTATCCAAATCACCACAAGTTGAAAAAAATAAGTACCATCAGGAGAGAAATCACTCATTAAATTTTCCAATAACAAAAAGTTCTAGAAAAAGTGAAGCAGGGACGAGAAGTTCACCCCATAAAAAAGTTCAAGTAAAAGATCAGTGGCCAAAATCATCCAAAATCCCCTTGCCAAAACAAGGATTGAAGAAGCTCTCATGTAGCAATACTAGGAACACACAAAGCTATTATTATATCTCCTTGTTGATGCACACCCCCAGCAGATCAGATCACCTTGATAACCAGCATAACCTCAACTTGAACCATATAGTTCAGATATTAATTAAGAGATTACCAACTGATGAACAAAAGAATAACTTACCAGAAATCTCAAGGACTACTATTTATTTTTCCCATGAAGAATATTTCTTCAATTGTTTGTTCCACAGTGAAAACAATTTTTCCATCACATAAGATTTGGAAAAAAAGGAAAAGATCGATTGGCAATATTCTCTCTTCAAGATTCAAATAATGTCAGAACTATACATACCAACTGGTATTTACTGGTCCAACCAAGGGCAAATACTGAACCATATAGGTTGGTGCTGGCTGATACTTAAGTTATTATTCTTTTTTAAAGATACCAGACGTCATAGATTGGCATACCACCTGGTATGTTCTTAACATACCCGTCCAATCGATTACTCAGACCACTAATGGACTGGTATTTGAAAACTTCTCTATTCAACATGAGAAATGGCTTTTAATCTTCTTTCATCCTAATAAACTGAAAATTATCCACAAATCCCTTTGCAACAAACATAAGAATCTACTTTTCCTTTCTAATCTCTTATCTCAGTGAAAATATATTTTCCTAATTTCCACTGCAAACAATCATGCCACAAGCAAATGAACAGAAGAATAAAGTACTAAATGACAGCAAATAAACAAAACATAACGCAACCAAATATATTTTGGAGCTTAAGAACAATACTAACCATACGCCATTGTGCAACTTGGACGTGCCTGTATAGCATGCTGATAGCACATGATGGCCTCTTGCGGCATTCGCAGTGCCTGGAAAAAGCCAAAAGAAGGATCCATTTTGCACCAGAAACTAGCTCCAACAGTTGCATAGATATTTTGTAGACAATTTAGGAAATCTTACCTTGTACACATTCCCTAAATTCAAGTAAGCATCTGCAAATGCTGGCTTAAGTTTAACTGCTTCCTGAAAATGAACAGAACTATAAGAAGTCTAGATATATACAACAATCTGTCAGTATTGCTTTCATTCACATAATACAAGAATAAAATGATAAAACAAATTAGCAAGTTGTCAGCATAGATTTAAGATAAACAGGAAAACTTCAAAGGTCAAGGAAAGTTTGATGTTTCTCATACACCACTGAGTGCTACTGTATTACTGAAGTCAAATTACCAATTACAGGTTCACATCTCTAAAAATATGTATTATGAGCATTCATTATTCAGCACATCACAAATTGGTATGTGTTGGTTGGTGTTTATCTGTGCAAATGTGATCCAGACAGGGACCACCCTTTGTCCAGGTGCAGTACAGGACTCACCATACAGTAAGCCTCGACTGGGCCTACCATCTGGTCCAAGGCTATTACTGGTTCCTTTAGTTGTTGTTTTTTATTGTTGTAAATCCATACTAGGTAGAATTTAAAAAATTTTAAATGACATCAATTGAAAACTGGATAGGTTATCCACCTTGTAGTACAGAAGCGCCCTGTTAAGATCTCCCGACTCCATAAAAAGCCCAGCAAGGTTGGACCAAGCAATTGCAAATGTAGGTTGTATTCGTAAGGCCTCCACATAGCAATTATAAGCCTGTAGCAAGAAAAAAGAAATATGCATCATGTAAAAACCGCAGGAACAAAGATGATTTAACATCATAATACAACAAAGAAAAAGTTTAATTAATCAAGAACTTTTAGGTTTTTATTTTCATAACTAGTATATGGATGGGATTATAGCATAGATATCATGGTCTTTGAATCTTACAACCACAAAGATACCAGTGTGACATGACTTCTGCCCATTAAGCTGACAAACAATCTATGCAGCTGCATATGCCTATGTTGGTGGCCATACAATTATGCAGTGAACAATGTCACTTCCTTGTTGCAATCAATTCTACTAGTATATTATTTATAAAATTATGAACATGTCAACGATAAGACAATTTTAGTTGATTACACATTTCTAAATTTCTTACAATGTATCACTTGCAGAACATCTTAGAGTTGAAATATCATTCCATAAGTATAAGATTCAGCCATCACATGCATTTATCTTTTTTAATTTATTTTGCATTTCTATATTATAAGAATCTTTTATATGCTTTAATATGAACCATTATGCACCCAAATATAAATCATGAAGGTACCAGGAGCACACAAACATGAACATACCAATTGTTTTTAGCCTCCACCATTAAAGATTTGTGTTCATAGAAAGTTCCATATAGCATTAATTTGTTTCTATAGAATGCCAATGTTTCCTCTATATTTTCAGAATCATAGTCCCATGCAAATGTTCCACAGCCACATTGGAATCTAACATTCAAGCATATCAGGTTTAGAGGTTCTAGTTTAGTTATGTTATCTTCAGGTGTTCTTATATAAATATTGCTTTATTGGTTATGTTGTCTAAATGGCCCAATAAGAACCCTATTGCGGGTTTTATTCTAAGTGTAGTTTAGCAAAAGAAAGCCACCATCTATTAGGTCGTTCGGATTTGTTGTTTCATAAATTTAATGCCTTTTTCAAGAGAGCATTTGAAAGGATTTCAAGTTTACAGGAAATAAAGACTTGTTGCATAAGTTTTAATTAGGAAACTGCCTTTTTACCTGTTTTGTGCCTCACTAAACGTGATTAAAGCAAGCAACTGAAAAGTAAAGGAAGAAGAGATGGAGCCACTAATTTGTCTAGCAGAAGCCTCTCCATTCAAATTACCTGCCTCACCCATGGGCAAAGCAAGGAAAGTTCAAAGAAGACGTTTAACTTGGTGTTGTTAGAAATCATAGATGGATCAGTAAGGAACCTCATCAAATTAGTTACAAGGAATATAAAAAACGAATTTTTATTTTCAAAAAACCACAGCCAAATCCTTATATATAACCTGATGACTTGTATCAAGGAACATAAACCAAATCCTTTATAATTGACAGATATAGTGACAAGGGATATTCTTTGAATATTTACTCTTCTTTTGGAGGTTGAAGGTACATTAAAATTGTAATGGCTAAAATACCACCATTTTATGAAGCAGGCAGCACTCTAGATCAATCAAGAAACTAATTTAGTTCAGTAACCATCATGAGTATTTTAGTTGTTGTAATCAACTAAATCCACTATGGCTTAAATGGATTCAATCAATTAGACACAATTCAATCGAAAATCACTGATCTTATTGGATCCAGGTCAAGCACGGACCAAAGTTATCAAGGGCTTGAGATGAATTAAAGGGCTAAAGTCTCTTAAAGCTGGAGCCCGTGTCTATGGCAAGAACCTTTTTAATGGAAAACTCACTGGGAATAATAATTAATAAGAATATGATCAAAAAATGACATGCAAGTAACCAAATCATAATTTTTGCTTATGAGCTCAAATGCTATAACTTGTTTTCATTGCAAAATGCATGAAACTGAAGATGATATTCACATCTTGAAAGAAGAATGCACCAATACAGTCACCAATACATAAAAAGATAACAGCAGTACTGCAACAAAAAAAAAGCATAACTAAAAATACAGATAATTAAAACAACAAAACAGTCCCTATAAATAACACAAAGTCAGCGGGTTGGGTAAACAAATTAAAATTTAGCATAATATAATACAAAAGAGTAAAAAAAAACAGAAGATAGAAAAAGGGACAACAAAGAAGCAATGTCACGAGATCAGTTTATTCTTACCTTCTCATTGATACACGGGGAACGATAATTGTCCATTTGTTAGTTACTCGTATTCCCAATCATGAAAATCGTGGCAGAATATATGATACAGTGACTTATCTGATTGTCTTGGTTTGTGAATGAAATCCAATCGTGACATAAGGTGTGTCTTCCGTGAACATCACCAAGGCAACTAGGCACATGTCGAAGGAACACTTAACTGAAGTCACCCTATCTTACCAATCAAATGACCGCTATTGAGTGACTTCTGAATATTTATGATTCTTTTTGACATGCCAACTTTTTCTCATAATAGGACAAGATGTCACACAAGTCAAACTACTTAGAGAAACACAAATCAAATATTTGCAATTAAGGTCAAGATGGCTCTTCATCCTTGAATAGTTAGCTCAGAAATGGTACTTAATTTACGTACTTAATTTACCCCATAAACCAATGTTCTCATCAGTAATAAATGGGCTTCCTAGGTACATGGCCCAAGCCATTTAGCCATCTCCGCCGCCTAGAAGTCTAGAGCTTTCAGGTTTCAGGCCAAATAACAACATGAACACCTAGATGGAGCTTGCCAAGCTACAAAGTCCCCAATCGCCAGCTTTTCAACTGGTTTCTTTCACAAATAATCATGGATAAAGAGTAATAGGAGAATACTAAAAAATGAAATTAAGAATACATTTTTTTTCCAAAAGTTACAAGAAAATGTAAATTGTTTTATGTACTTATATAATAAACAATAAGAATAATACATATGTTTGCTTGTTAAATATTTTTTTGTTATGCTGTTTTTTGTCATTGTATCTTAAATGTTACAATATGCTTTTTCTTTTGTTTTCTTCTTCTATTTATATTAGCATTTTAAGTAGTATCTTCCATCAAAACACATGTAAAAGAGATATAGAAACAAACACTCAACAGGTCTTAGGACTATCATTGGCATATCCACCATGCAACAGTGGATGTTAAAAAGTCCATCTTATGTGATCTCTGTTAAATCAGGAGAACTGCGTATCTGTCATCAAATTTTTTGAGAGCTTTAGAATTATTAGAAATGTTTCCAATTATTTAATGTACACATATGTGAAAATTTTATGCTATGATTTCCTAAGCACTCGCCTAGCGCATAAGCCTTTAAACTAATATCATCACTCATTATTTGAGCATTCCTAAATGAATTCAGAAAACAGATGTTCTTCCTTTGAACAACTAGCACTAGGACCAATAGACAAAAAAACTGCCCATAGCCAGCATATGGTGCAATGCAAAATACATGGAAGTTTGGTTGCCATCTCCAAAAAACTATTCGGGAAATTTGCTACTTCATAAGCATAATATAATTTCTAAAAGAGCAAGAAAACACTTAGAGGAGAAATAAGTAAAACATGTTATTTATATTTTATAGTAACTTACATCTTGGATTAAGCCTTGTGCCTTCATCAGATTCCCAAGATTGCTATGAGCATCAACCTAACTTTTAAAAATTAGTACATGTCCACATTATTTAATGTAAGATTAAAAAAACAGAAACTTAGAAATATCATTTACCAAACGAGGATTTAGTGCAAGGGCGTTCCGACAACATTGAGCTGCATCGGTCAGTCTACCTATTCTGGTGTATGCACTAGCTAAATTTGACCATGCATCAGAAAAGTTCGGCCGGAGCTGCAAATGAAAATTCAGAGTAAAAGAGTAAAAAAGCAAGTTTAACTAAAGAAACATGAACAAAAGACGATCAATTAATGGACCAAAGAACAATAAGTTTTTAAATCTTTGTAGTTGAAAAGTTTTTTCAAGTTGTTGGAAGATAGCCAATCGCCTATAGCATAGACCTTTAGTGTGTTGAAATAACTAAGATTATATCATTCTGCAATAAACCTTCAAGTACAGCAGTAAAAAAGTGAAATTGCTTAACATAAATATGAACCATCGGTCTGACAGGTTCAAAATAGCAACAAATACGTTTTCTTAGCAGACTCAGAAAACTTATACAATTAGGAATATGACAGGAAAAGAAGTAGACAACCATTCGATACTACAAAAGATATAGATAGGCCAGCTGCCAAATGGAATTCTGTGCCTAATTTTCACTACAAAAATTTGACTATGTTAGTTATTCCCCTTTCACAACATATGCACTTAACTATCCCTAAAAGGGACTCTTATGCCATATCAAGGAATGAATATCTCTTGATCGGTAGCTGCATATAATCTATCTAACAATAGCCATAGAGATTGGAACTTAAGATAACAAAAAACCAGATATAGACATATTATTGAAAGATTTAAAGGTAGTTAATTTGGTTTCCAGATAGAATGAGTTGACTTCGAATCGGAAAAGGAATCAAATCCTTTCATTATGCCTGACATAGCCATGGATCCAATCAGACAGGTAGATGACCATACATGAAGATTAAATAAAGCAGTTTTATGTCCACCAAGCTTTTAAGTCATAGTGTGTTAGAATTACTTATGCAACCATTTCAAAAGATAGCCACCTATAAACATGTTAATGGACTTTGCTTCATAGGAAATAAAGAGTGATAAATAGGTACATAGGGTCAATGACAGTAGACTATCATATAATGGCTAACTTAAACCAAGCATCTTCAGTAACAAAGTCTAAGTTTGAGTGACAAAGATCATAGTCTAATCACTGACGGTAAGGTGTAGTTAACACCACCTGCCAAGGAAACTATGTAATCTCCTTTATAAACCAAGTGAAATGAAAATTGCATAGAAAAGAAAGCAGAAGAAATAAAAACCTAACAAGTAGAAGCAAGAGGAAGAATCACTAAGAAATCCTAAGTTTACCATCAGAATCTGTTACAATGTCAATATTGCAACGGTAGCCTCTCGAAGAAGAAAATTTGCAACCTAATGAATCCCCAACTTACATTTTAAAGTAGAAAATATTAGGAATAGAGTATCGTAGGTAAAACAAGCATAGAATGAGAAAACAAATAGATAAGTACAAAGGTAGAAGTCTGTTAGACAGATGCACAGTAAGTATAACTACCTTGATGGCAGCTTGATAAAGTTGTATAGCAAGATCAATGTCACCCTTTTCCTGTACCAAGAACATCTGAGTTATAATTATTTGGAAATAATTTACCATGTCATAGATTAGGATCAACAAAGTTCATATAGCTAATGCAACATAGACAAACAAACCTCACTAAACGTCAAGAATGTGTCTTCTTAACCAAGACCGATTTCTTACCTTCCAAGCATTTGCCATGTTACCATAACACTCTGCAAAATGTGGATCAATTGCAAGAGCCTCTTGGTTCTTTGCAATACACATGTCAAAATCATGTAACTGAAATGCCAGAAACATAAATAGAAGTCAGAGACTGCAATGTTCAAAGATAAGGTAATAACTCCAAAACAAATTAGATCATGATGTAAAAGATATAGGAACATATAAAGTAAAACAATGTATGACCTGATAGTAAATAGCACCAAGGAGGAGGAGATTGTCTGTTCTTTTGGGGTTTTTCCTATAAATGGCATTGCTGTGATCCAATGCTTGATTATAGTTTCCAGCTTTGTAATTCTGGTGAGCAAGGGCCAAGTGCATGTCTTCATCACCTAAACCATTCGAATGTATCATCACAAAAAGAACCAATTCGGTAAGAGACAATAATCCAACACCCCAGAAGGAAACCTTTAAAAAAAAGAAAGATCTTTTCTTAAACAAGAATTCAAACTCTTCTGCTAGTTCCACTTAGAAAAGAACCCTCAATTATCCAAATAAAAGGCCATTCTTTTGGCATCATACATCACGTATTCCCACAGCAAGAAACAGCACGAAACATGGAATCCACAAAACAAACACAAAAGAACGCAAAGGAACCTTCAGTCGGCTTCGCAATCAAGGGCTTGATGTCAGCGGAGCCATCAAGCAACTGCAGGGCGAAGGGTATTTCCTCCACATCGGACCCCGCTGGGTGGAATCCTAACCCGCCGGCCACGTTCGCCCCGAACAGCGGCTGCTGCTGCTGCTGCAGCTGCGGCGGCTGCGGCTGCTGGGGCTGGTGCTGCCGCGCGTCGGCCTGCAGCGAGAGCATGATCGGCGCCGGCACGAACCCTAGAATCCACCGTAAGATCGAGGGAGGGAGACGCCCAGCGACGGGATCCGCGATCGATCGGATCCCTGGGAGGATCGAAGAAGGGAAGGTTCGATCGGATTCCGGCAGATTTGGACCACCCGAGCGCCAGATTCTTCGCTCTCGTGTTCCGCTGTGGCTTCGGTTTTACCGCTGCTTTCCCCTTCCTCGTTCCTTCCCCTCGCCTTCAATTCCCGTCGGCAGCTAAAAAGGGTGAACACCGAGGCGTTCTAAGCTTCAGGTAGATCGCATTAGCAATGTTATGCGCGTACATGATCTGCCGTCCATTTGGGCCGCTGTGATTCACCGGAGCGTAAATGAAGAAGGGTTGAGATCGCCTGTGGAGATGGAGGAGTTTGCCCTTGACTCACCGTATTTATTTATTTATTTTATTTTAGTAAGTGGATCCTTTAAAGCTAAAAAATTATGGCTGACTTGTGTTAAATTTCAAATTGATATTAATACCCAATAAATGATATTTGATATTTTTTATTTAATAACAACAAGGATTAACAGTTATTAAGTTGAGTTTATATATATATATATATATATATATATATATATATGAAAGATTTAAATATTTGGGAATATATATTTTAAGTTTGAGGAGCAAATATGCTATTTTCTAAATTTAAAATAATTTATGTTAATACCCCCTGTCAAAATTTATGTGTGCTAATATAATCTCAAGCTCTTATATTGTTTTCAATATCAGAAAAAATGTTTCCTCATGTTTTGAAATATAAACTTTGGTTGGTGAATTATGCTAATTAAGATAAATGTTGGTGATACGTCTTATCAAACATAATTCGACAAAAAATATGATCACCAAAGACTGATGTAATGTGGCCTTTAATGACAATAACTCATATTGATTGCGCAATTCAAACGTTCATTTTTATTTAAGATTTAGACAAATGTTGGATGTTGAGTTCTCTTAACGTGAATCCACACTTGTCGATGAGCAAACACCAAAATAGGTGTTGCTATTATTGCTTTCAATGATAACTAAGACCTTTCTTTCTTAATTTCCAATTAACATACATCTATGATTAGTATTACAAAGCCCTATGGAGAACAAGCTGAAGTAAATGCTACTAAAGTCCATATACAATGAGAATTATGCATTGGTAATATGGTTCATTTACCTTCAACCAGGAAGATGAGCATTGTTGTGTTTATCACTGATCCCATATGTGAAAAAGAATCTGTCAGGAATGTAATAAATATATAGATAATGTCTAATAAATTGATTTAAAGATATAAAAAAAGAAAAATCATAGATCCTGTTAAAGATTTATAAAAATAAAATATTATCATCCTATGTAAGATGGATGGATGATCTTAAACCTCGAATAATAGATCCATTATGGGATATTTTTTGTTGAGTACTTCAAATTATTATTATTTTCTCCTAGATATATGCATCGAGCACAAACACTTTGAGTAAGTTTGGGCACTTGGGATACTTATTTATTATTATTGATGAATGCATCACATGTAGGGTTAGACTAAATAGTTATACAAGTGAAATAAAACAGTTTAGAAGTTTCATTAGACCCCCTCACATTCTTTATTTAGTCCTTCAAACAGAGTGTAAATTAACTTTCATTAGTCATCAAATATGACTCGTGATCCGCTATACGACTGGTATCGCCTTGTTCTTCAAATTAACTAACTTGAGAAGCAACGACAAGACCATTGTTGTCACCTTGTTCTTCAAAGAAGTGTGCTTGCTTCTCTGTACAAGAAGATAGGACATTTAGCAAAGAGAGCCTTAATTTAGACATGATCTCGATGGACTCCAAAAGAGGATTTTGAATTGGGTTCCATCTTCTTCTAATATTTTCTAGATAATCATATATGGATTTCTATTTCTACTTTTGAGATTAATAAGGGTATACCAAAGGCATGTCTTTCACTTGAAACAATTCAACAAACCCTAATTAACTTGTAAATCTTCTAGTTATTTTTCTAGTCACTCCAAAAATGTCTTGGGTATACCAAAGACATGCCTTTTACTTGAACCAATTAAACAAACCCTAATTTACTTTTAAATCTTCTAAATATTTTTCTAGTTACTCCAAAAATGTCTTGTTTGAGAGAAGAAAAACAACACAGAGGCAACAAAACACTAGCAAATAATATCCAAATAAATATACCCATACATCAGCTACAACCACCACAAAGCGATAACAATTTTAATTAATCTTTCACAAATATAAGGAAAAGCACCCAAAGCTAAGCTTTGATGCATATGTATCATTTAACAAAGGTTCAGTCATTCAGCAAAACAAGCATTCAATCAAGAGTTCAAACTTTTTAAGATCATCAAACCATCTGAGGTGATGTAACTTGTTACGTATCACAATTTCAGTGAGCATTCCAAAATGTATCCTCATGATGAACTGCTATCTGATCATTCTGTCATCACGGGCTTGTTCTCATTTGCCTTAGGTTTGTGCTCCTTTGGTTTCTGCTCTTCAGATTTCCTATTTTAGGCAAAACAAATGTATTCCATCATTTGAAAGGAAACAAGAAAATTTGACATGCAGAAAACTTACAGTAATAGGAACAGAAGACTAGTCGTTTGGGTAAATTTATAAACCTAAATCAACATGCAACAACCTTTATGAGGCGAGGCCTACTTAGAATGATCTTTGATGTTCAGATGGTTACAGTCTCTGTACCTTAGTATGCAATTATTAATATATATAAAAAACACAAAGTACTTCTAGCATTTTTTTCATTTACAAGAACTTACAAGCAGCGGTATTACAATGAGATCTCATACAATCCAGAGTGCTGTTTAAGTCAGTGGTACTTTGATGCAGATCTACCAGATCATAAAAAGGACAAAAAAAAGAAAAGAACACTTCTATTCTATATTCTACACTGCTAGAGAATCATCCCAAACAACCACTTGCAAGTCCTTAGAATTGAATCACAACATCAAGCAAGACACCAGGAATCTGTAAGTTCCCCTTTGTAAGTTCCATTTCCTATCTAGGATCACCAAGTGTCAGCTACCACAACGTAAGACTTTTATTAAAGCTTAACTGCAATTCAGTATAGTAACCATTTTTATGAAAGAAATATAATGAAAAGACATACTAATTTTCTAGCAGGGAAGGCGGCATTCTACATGAACTTGCCAACCTCCTTATCTCTAATTGCACTTAAAACCGTTTTCCCATACTGACTTCCCAATGAACATTTGATTGTATTAAATGTATGTAGCATTTTTTTTTGTCCTCTGGCTGAGAAAATGTAAATAGTTTAGATGACATTTCCCCACTCAAACAGTAAAGCTCTTAATAAAATATAATCATTTTTCCTCAAAGAGAAATAAAAAAGCAAAAAAGGACTAACCAAGCTCATAACCACGTAGTGTCATTGTCAATTGTATTACTCATGAGAAGAAAACTATCACAGAAGAGAGGCATCTTTACTATTTTATGTTCTTATTACTTCACATGTTATCTATGATAGTCTTAGAATCGCTTCCACATACAGCACACTGATTCATTAACAGACACTATGCCCATTTTTTTTTTATTAGCAAAACTGGTTGATTCTCTAACCCTGTGTACCCAGAATGCATTTGCCAATTTAACCATTTTATGCTAAATATAAGAGGATATCTAAATCAAATATTATTGTTCCACAGTCTATTCACACTATAATTGTATGCCAATGATGATACGAAAATTTAATGCAACTTAGTCATTTCTTTTAATTCTGTCATAGCCCAAGAAATCTCATTGGGTTGATTGATAATCAATTCATCGAATAGTGAATATAACAAGTCTCACAACTACCGAGCAGTTTTCTGATTCCTAAATTGTGAACATTTGGCTCAAAGTCACGTAGATCAAGGTTCACACAAGAAACCACAAAGTTTCACACTAGACTGATAACAGACTGATGGATAATACAACACAAACCCAGTCCCACATAATTTTTTATTCGATGCTTCAAGCTCCTTTTCAATTACCTTCTCCACGGAAGGAAAAAAAAAAAACGAAGAGGTTTCTATAGTTTAATTGATCTTGAGACTTAACCTATTATCAAGCTATGACGCAAAGGTTCTCTTGAACTAACTGTTTGAACTTTGCCTTTATCGTTGTCTTCTATTCGCTATTGCTAACTGTTTCTTTTACCTTTTCTTTGGAAAAAAGAAGGCAAATTTCTCACTTATGTTAATTCCAACTATTTGACAAGAAACCTCCATCTCGAAATTGAGACACATCAGGAGTGAATCTGTTGTCTTAGTTCTGCTTTAGGAGAACATAAACCACTTCTTCAGAAGCATAAAGTCCATGAATTACCATAGAATAACACTTTATTCCCTTAAATAGTCACAAACCTAATCAAGACAAGATTCTAAAGTCTCGACTACCCTGTCATCGCTGCAACAAATCCAAGATTGCTCAAGCAGCAAAAGATCAAAACTTTTCACATCAAAAATACAAGCTTTCACCCATCGATCGACGAAACCGTGTTCAAACAAGAACCATGACGATACATGGAAGAAACGGAAGTCAACCCAACAGGGCTCATTGACAACCAAAGAACAAGTAGGGAACCGAGCAGAGGTACCGAGAGGGAAGGGAAAAATCGTACCGCTTGTCGCCGGAGCTTCCGCCCTTCTGGCTGAGGAAGGAACGGAAAAGAGGTGAATTGACGTCGTAGATCATGTCGCTAGGGTTAGGGTTTCTTTCCTGCCGGCCCGCCGTTACAGAGACGAGAAGGAACTCTGCAAGGGCGGTGTCTAAAAACAAATGTATACTGCTGTAAACCACGTGAATTGCACGTGAGAAAGTCGGTTTGGGATAATTGGGCCTCCATGGGCCTACACAAATCGTTGCTGAATTAAGATCGTCATTTCATTGTTATCAATATAAATTATACTCTCAACATCAATAATATTTCTTGCTGGAAATACAATGGACATGTCAAATATATCGCATAATTAGCTGGATTACATGAGACTAATTGGGATATGGATCGATCCTGTTCTCTATAAAAGCCTGAAACGGGAAGAGACTGATCCAATTTTGTGCTGCAGGGATTCGGTACACGTGAGACGTAACTGTACAGGTGAGACTTCAGTGCGGGGGACGCGATGAACAACCAGTTTCTTAAACAAATACGTAATACTAGGCCCACTTCTGCACCGCGATTGTGATTGGAGTTCGTATTTGGGTCCCGCAACTGTAAACGGGAGAGAAGCTTCAGGTCGTAAAGGAACCGAGAGGCTCCAACTGCAATAATTGCTTGGAGTTTTCTCCGAACAAAATGGCGATTTTGGCCCTGCGTCTTATTCTCGTCTCTTCCGTTCTTGTTGTCTGCTGATTGGATCCAAATCTTCCGTCTGACTGGTAAAACCCCATCGATCAATTCCTCTTTCTTTCTCCAATCCGTTTGAGGAACATGTCAGCCGGAAACGAGGCGTGTAAATAGAGAAAAAAAAGGCAATCTTGGAGATTTTGGTTTCCGGTATATAGAGCGAGAGGGTAGATTTTGTGGTAAGATGGGATCCTCCACGGACAATCTGAAGGGATTCGTGCTGGCTCTGCTATCCAGCGGATTCATCGGAGCCAGTTTCATCATCAAGAAGAAGGGCCTCAGAAGGGCGGCTGCTGCTTCTGGAGTCCGAGCAGGTCAGCTCATCATCAACTCTTCTTCCTCTTGTTGATAATTGTTTCTTTCAACACTGATACTAGTAGATGGTATTCGACCCATAAAACGTAGGGGTTGGTGGATACTCCTACCTCTTGGAGCCCCTCTGGTGGACTGGTATGATCACAAGTAAGCCCCTTTTTGCCTTCCTCTCTGTCTATGCAATTCTTAGTTGGTCTATCTTTATTCTAAATGAAAATACAGGGATTCAATTCTTTTGTTTTGGTATTGGCTTGTTGGTGGATGCCAAGTTGTGTGTTCGGCTTGGGGTTTCACTATGGTTATCTATCTTTTCTCATGAGATAAAGCAATCTCACATGAAGAAGTTAGATGTAGGTTATATTCCTTCTTGTGACTTGTGACTAATTACTAAAGCATATTATGCTGTTTAAAGATAAGATTTTTATTTCTCTGTGATTGTTCTTATGAGTTATTACTGTAGCATGTTATGTTGTTAAAGGTACGATTTCTAATTCTCAGTGATTGTTGGAGAGGTGGCCAATTTTGTAGCTTATGCATTCGCCCCTGCAGTCCTTGTCACTCCATTGGGTGCTCTAAGCATAATTGTTAGGTAACTCTCTGTTTGTATCTATTGAATTTACTTGACCTATGGAGAGAGGATCATCTTTCCATATCTTCTTTGGTCCTGATAGCATGTCAAATATATTTGTAGTGCTGTTCTAGCTCACTTTATTTTACAAGAGAAATTGCATGCTCTTGGGATTTTGGGCTGTGTTATGTGCATTGCTGGTTCAGTTGTAATTGTCATTCATGCACCACAAGAGAGAGCAATTACCTCGGTCCAAGAGATATGGAATATGGCAACTCAAACTGGTATGCCTGAGTTTATATATAGTTTTGCTTCTTCCCTTCCCTCTTGGTGTATATCTATTAGAATGACCACCTACTTATCATGTTATTGTTGACTTGGTTATTCTTCAGCATTCTTACTGTACGTGGCTTCAGTTATTGTCATAGTCTTCGTTCTTGTTTTCCATTTTGCTCCACTATATGGAAACTCAAATGTCTTGATCTTCACTGGCATTTGCTCTTTGATGGGCTCCCTCTCGGTAATGTTTCTTTCATCTATCATACTTCAGCTCATGCTAGCAATGATAAAATTTGAATGGACTGTGTTGATAGAGTTTTCTGTTATTTGGAACTCAATACTTAGCTAAATTACAGGTAATGAGTGTTAAAGCACTAGGGACATCTTTGAAGTTGACTTTTGAGGGCACGAATCAGTTAATTTATCCACAGACATGGTATTTTATGCTGGTAGTGGTCACATGTGTGATAACGCAAATGAATTATCTTAACAAGGTTAGCATGGTTTTCTTTGCATCTCATTTGTTGATATTACAGCTCAAGAATGATGTTGAATGTTTGTTTATCAGAATTTTGTTTTGTTCCTAAAGATCATATGTGGGTGCAATAGTCTACATATTACCTAAAATATTCATCATCTATTTGCTGAACCATTTAGTTGAGGAACAGCCTTCATATCTCATTTTGTTAATTTTACAGCTCAAAAGAATGTTTGTTTATAAAAAAATATTTTGGTTAAATCCTAAATATCATATATGTAGGCATATTACTCTACATATCACATAAAGTATTCATAATCTTTTTGCTGAACTGTTTAATTGAGGCATAGGTTCCATTTGTTAATTAAATGAATGTTCTGGCCTTCTGGGAATAGACAGCACAAGCAATGTGCTGAATCCTACTGTAGTTTTACATGACTAGATAGCATATTGTTCCTATTATTGATTTGCAGCACTGGCCTTCTGGGAATAGACATCACAAGCAATGTGCTGAATCCTACTGTAGTTTTACATGACTAGATAGCATATTGTTCCTACTATTGATTTGCAGCACTGTTGCGCAGAATGAATTCATTGTTGTGTTTCTAAGATTTTTTTATGTTGACAATCTTATGCTTATGACAGTCAGAATGATCGTTAATCCATAGCGTCTCTCTTCATGTATATCTAAAGATGGAAAAAGGATTGGCCTTATGAAGTTCATGGATATATTATTTAATTCTGTATCCTTTGGCTCTCTTTTGAAGAGGTTCCTAATGAATTTCTTGCCATTGCAACCATCCATACCATTGTATTTTGATGACATATTGATGATTATGTGTGGTAGATTTTGTTGATTTAGTTGGAAGTATGTTGTTAACCAAATTTACCTCTGATAAAATCATATCAGCAGTAAGAAGTTTTATGTTGGTTGTTGAGGAAATTGGAGGTATTAGGATTCAAGAGTATGTTCTTTCAAAGAAGGGTGATTTCTTTAGAAAACACCCATATTTTGGGTATGTCCCAATCGGTACCCCCCATTTTGTTTTTCCCCCTAATTTGAAAAATACACAAACTGCCTCTTCAAATTTTTTTTGCCTGTTATAGTTTCCTAACCTGTTACAGTGTGTTTTGGCCTATTATAGTGTTTTAACCACCACAACAAAAACACTGTAAACCTACTTGAAAACACTATAAATAAACCAAATGGAATCAAAATACACTAGAAATCATTTGATATATCATTATCATACTATTATTCAAATAGGTATTTGTAATAGTTTAGAAATAACATCACCAAAATAAAAAAAAAAAATTGATTTGTTATAGTGTTTTAGCCACCACAATAAAACCATTGTAAAATCTACTCAAAAATACTGTAAATGATTCAAATGGACTCCCAACCTCAACCAAACCAGCTACAAGCCTAAATATATGGTGCCATAATGGTCTATGAGCAATACCAACAAGAGAGACACAATATAATGTCACTTACAGTTTTTTTCAAGAGCATTTACAGTGTTTTCAATACCTTAATAAAAACACTATAAATATTAAATACTATTGAAAAACCCTGTAAACGAGCCAAATGAAAACACTATAACAGTCTACAATTGGTGAAAAAATGGGTGAGAATATTTGCCAAGAAAATTTCGAGGGGTATACTAAAGAATTTTCAAATTAGGGTATTGTTTGGGAAAAAACAAAAGAGGGGTACCGATTGCGAAATACCCTAAATGTGGGTATTTTCTAGAGAAATCCCCCTAGAAAGAAAGACACTGAGGCGTAAGCAACATGCAAATGACAATATCCAACATACGAACTTTGACTTTATTCGAGGGATTATTTCTACTTTGTAATGCTGTTACAACTTACTGGTAATGGGAATATTCTACTGGGAGAAACTAAACTATTCTGGATTTGTTAAAAACTGAGATAAGTCTCTTAATGTCTTGCTATGGATTCATTACACTAGAAGTGATATGTGTGTTTATTTTCATGTTAACTTCTATCCTTTGACTACATTCAATGAGACTGTTTAATGAGAAAACACTTAGCTATTGTCAGAGTGATTGGTATTAACTACTGTAACGATTTATAAAAGAAAATTACAGGAATATTTTGACAAAGATACAATGGCCGAGGAGAAGATATGTCTAAGATATGCTTAAAAAGTTAAAATAGTATTGATTGACAATGACAAATAGAGATGTAAAGTGCCTTATGATTTATTTGAACCATTTGTTCATTTTGTCCAAGATTTTAATTTTTAAGAATCTACAACCTGCATCATCTTATATTATGGAAAAGCATTCATTCTTAAGCCTAAAAGAGATAGATGAGATACAAAAAGATCAAAATTGTTAATGGTATGAATATTATTGTCTAAGCATTGTGTTTTTAACTTGATATGTTGCTTATGCTGCAAAATGGCTACTTACCACTTTGAAAGATCTGCAAAGAACAAAAAAATCTACAGAACACCATGTTCATATCTTCATGACTTGACTGAGATTCTGATGCCCCTACATTTTCTTGGAATTTTCTCCTCTTTTCTTGTCTCTTCTTTCATAAAAATAGTTAGTGGTTATCTCATTGTTCTATTATGTAGATGATATCTCACTTGTGGAACCTAACACTACTACTATTTATTTCAAGTATATTATACTTAACATTTTCAAATTTTATGTGCTGTTCATGTTGAGTTGGTTTTCTTTTATATTTTTCAGGCTCTTGATACCTTCAATACAGCCATTGTGTCTCCAATATACTATGTGATGTTTACTACACTTACAATTGTAGCAAGTGTTATAATGTTCAAGGTATGCTTATAACTAGACAGTGAATATCTCTCTTCTTATAACAGTAATTATTCTATTAGGTCTTGACAGTAGCCAAACCAAATAGTAGCTAGCTTGTGTTGGTTTCACCTTTGGAATCTGCAGATCTTTGTTGTTAGCCTTTTGTTTCACAATAACTTTGCACCAGCAACTTGACGCTTGTAATACACATTAAAAAATGTGATTGTTCAAGTAAGCTTATTGACTATGAATGATTGCTCTAAATTTTAACAAATAATTATATTTGAAAGAAAAAGATATTGGCCAGCAGATAACAAATAATTGGGACATCATTATGAAAAGAATGGAAAGAAGTTTGAAAGACTTATTGGAGGCAGATCAGTTATGGCATTAATTATGTTTATAAAAAAGATACCATAAACTATCTTTAAAATTGATAGGAGGATATAGCCGATTTTTTCATACTACAAATTATTTTTTGAAGAACAAATGGAGAATATGATGTAAATTATTAATAAAATCCAAATCAAGTTCTCTCTGACTCTGAACTTGTACATTTGCTTCTTTTTTTTTCCATCAAAGCAACAATTCTGCTATTTTGTTTCATTAAGAAGATGAAACAAGTACAGATATAGAAAGCAAACATAAAAAGGAAAAAAAATGAAATGGAAATAACTACAATTCTCCGATCTACGAGTGACAATAATCAGATATGTACCATTTAAGGCTGATGAACATCATTAAAATTTGTTTGAAATTAAACCATCGGCAAAACTTTGCCATTTTGGAGGAAGCAATCCACCTTCCATGAGTTCCAAATTTTACCAATGGAAGAGGGTAGGGGAACAATAGTCTAATAGCGCCTAAGAGGTTTCCATATGGCTATGGTCAAGAAGGAATCCAAGAGGAGGTAAGAGGCAATACTGGATCAAATTTAAAACATAGTTTTAAGGTTGATTCTATTTTTTGAGGAAAGACATACACATCATTTTGCTTTTGGAATGCATGTGGAGCTCAAGATATGCATGGAGATGAGATAGAAAATGACTCCCAAGATGAGGAATCTATAAAGGAAGAAACAAAACTACATGACAAGATCAAACTATCGAGTTCTCTTCAATTTGAAGAGGAGAAAGAGCCTTCCAGTAGAGAACAAGAGGAAAGAAGGGAAACGTTTAACAAACAAAATTACATAATAAGCTTCCAAGCGTGTTCTTCAGGCCTTTAAAGTTTTTGTATGTATATGCCAAGAAAAGCTAATCTTGTTAACTTATAGAATTCTTACAAAAGAGGATTCTAGAGCTCTCAAAATTTATATTCTAATAATAAGGTAACCTACCTAAGCTATATGATTATCTGGTCAAAAGGATTCCTAGTCAAAGCTGACCCTTTTGGGCCTCACCAGGCCAGTACACTGTGTATAGGTTAAAATTTCAGTTGCCAAAATGGCTGCTAGGGCACCGTTTGGTAGCTAAGATTTCTACCCTTGTCTTGCTGCTAAGTAGTGTGTGTCAATATTTGCTGAAACTTAAAAGCAAAAATTTTTGAAGCCAGCTCAAACCTAAGCTTTCTGAATATAAAAACTTGCCAGAACTTTTGGTTTGTCTAAGCAGTATTTTCCTTGAGTGGGTCAAATTTGGTGTTAAAAGCATCTCATGAAATTAATGAATATTTGCAGGATTGGGACGGACAAGGTCTTGGAAGCATCATATCTGAGATTTGTGGCTTCGTTGTTGTTCTCTCAGGGACTATTTTATTGCACGTGACAAAAGATTTTGATAGGAATGCCTCAAGAAGTGCGCAATATAGTTTACTTGTCTCGCAAATATTTATCTTTCTATGATTTTTGCTATGAAACCATTGTTTGCTGCAAAATTCAAATAACTTGAGAGTTCATGCAGGTCTATATGCTCCATTATCCCCAACCTTAACCACTCGACTTTGTTCTGGAAATGGGGAAATGCTGAAGCATGTTGTGGAGGATGCGGCATATCCAGAAGATGCATGCTTAAGAAGGCAGGGGCTCTACTAGCAAATAAGGAGATGAGTCTGTCCGAACATTATTTGGAATGTCAAGATCCCTCTGCTGAAATCATAATATAAAATATTTTTAACACAAATCGACATCCCACTGCAGAGTGTCCGACCTTGGTGCTATCTGTGAGTGCCGTTTTGAGGCTTTTAAACACCTTTTGTGTTCATTAATGGTGCTAGAAGAAATCATGGATCTGGAATGCAGCTGCACTTTCTAATGAGTTCTAAAAAACGGCCCAGAGCTTGCCAGATTGATGGTGATCCTGCCCAGCCACCATGCACATGTTTGATATAAGTATAGATTCTTTCTGTGAATACAGGGATTTGTGTGATGACTGTGAAAATGTGAGTGCAAAAATAATCTGTCTGCAGAATTTGTGAAGAACGATGTAGCTCATCACACATGCTTATGCATTGTTAAATTTGTACAAAAATCAAGAAGTAATTCTGTCTGCAAGTTAAGGTGATACCCTAACTGATTGTGACAATTTCAGATGGTCTCTTAGCTATGAACTATTAAAACAATTGTAATGGAAATTTGTGTTGCAGTACAAGGTTAATTAATAATTCTTGTTTGTGAATTGGCAATCCTTTAGGTCTGTTGGCTGCTATTTAGAAGTGCTTTAGTAGTATGAATGTAACACTACTAGATTGAGCTGATATGCCATATTCCTATTCTGCTCAGTCTTCAAGCTTCTATTTGTCTAAGTAGAACAATTTGCAGATCAAACAGTCTCTTTGTTGTTGAATGGGGTTTTTCATCGACTCAAGTCTTCCATCACTTATATCTTTAACTTGTTATGCCATCAAAATTCGCACTCATAAAGCATAATTAATTTGATTAAAATGAAATTTCTCTGATGTTTGACAAATCACTGAATATAATTTTATGAATATTGCAAGGTGCCAATATACAAGTTATTTAAAAATGAATAACACTTTTATCAAGCTCAAAATAAAATAGTGGTATTTGTATGTAAATCCTTCGTTTTAGGTCGTTTATAGATCAAACTGTGTCCTATCAACATCTACATCTGATATCACTATTTATTATTATCACAATGCAAATATTTGATGAAACTGATCTTTTCTCTATAATTTTACAATATGAAAAATATATTAAAAGATTGAAAAAATTGATCTATGAGATGATATATGTTTTAAAATTTAGTAGTAATGTGAATTCACAAGTTCGATCAAGATTAAATAGTGAGTTCGATTAGAATCCAAGAATTAGCCAATGAATGTAAATGGTCTAATCCGAAATATAATATCACATAAAATTATATATATACATATATATATATATATAATCTTATTATATAATATTATATTATATTATAAGAAGATGAGAACGCAGCTCGTGAGGCCAAACCGCGATATAGACAGCCCATCCGATTCCCACCACAAGTTGAAAGCTTATCCAATTGATAACCATATTGCCCCATAGCCAGTAGATAATAATACTTTCCTTCAGAAACAAATGCATATAAATATACAATTAGTATTTGTTATATTTATCCCACTAAATTTAAGTTTAACATATACTTTCCTACAAAATCCAAAATATTATTTAAATATCACTAGTTATAGTTTATTTTCGTTTATTGACGAAACTTCAAATATTTTTTTTGCCCTTCGAAACTATTATTGCATATATTTCCATAAATTAATTTCTTTATTTTCCCTCTTTATACTTAATATTTTAATAACAGGATATTTAAGTATTTTTAAAGCCAACGGCAGTGACATATATGAGGGTTAAAATATTTTATATGATATATATTATTTAGGAGGGGTTGGGTATATATATATATATATATATGTGTGTGTGTGTGTGTAGCCTCCGTGAAATGAAACCCAAATCCGGTAGGAAATGATGCTCAAACACGGCGCTGGCCAATGGGGAGGGAGCATTTGATCGACGCCGCTCAGCCACAAGCGGAGATGCGGAGGGACACGTGGCGCTGCACCAACCCAACACTAAGCTACCCGTGGTCGGTCAGAACAAACAGACCGCCGTGAGTCCTACAGCACCCCGCTCACCGTGGGAAGTCGAAAGAAGAGGAGTAGAACGGCGGCGGCGGCCCTTTGGTTCGGTTCCTCGGCGACGGATCCGGTGGATCTGCGATGTTAGCGTCGGATTTCGAGCTATCGGAAAGTTTGGGTTTGGGGTTTGAGATTTCTTGCTTCTCGGAGGATGTTTGATTGGGACGACCAGCATCAGGTCCCTCACGACTTTCCCCTTTCCTTTTCTCTTCCCTTTTGTGCTAGCTTGCTTTTTCGTTCTAATTTTGAATATGGCTTCTTGAAATTGGATCGTGGAGCGAAATCGACTCGTTTAATAATCCACTTCAAATCGAACATATTGCTGGATTGATAACTTTTTTCTTCTGGAAACGAGAAAAACATCAACTTTTAGCATTTCTTGAACTCTTAATGTAGTATGTGCTTGTAGATGAGTTTTGCAGCTGTTCTTAGGGTTTTAAATAACTCTAGATCTGCTTCTTGTAGTTGGAAACCGGGTCATGGTTAGATGATTATGTGGCAGCCAGAAGCAGATAAAATGTGAAGACGAAGTGAAAAAAACATGCTTGGGTAAACAAATAAACACACACACACACATATATATATATATATATATATATTCAGTTATACGCTTTGAAAACATAGTCAATTAACCAACAATACATCCATAGCATATTCAATAAATTCCATTACATCTTCAAGGTTTCATAACATTTCAATACAAGTAACATTTATGCAGAACAAATCTCATTTGGAAAAATCCTAAACATATATAATTGTTTTCCCAAATATATTCATATTAGGAGTTATTCTTTGAATTGAAAAATCAAGACATGAACATATGAACAAACCACGACTTATTAAACATCAAGGCTTGCTACTAGCAAAATTAGATCCAAAATCAAAATTTTGCTCAAAACTTTTAATATTTTATTTTTTGCATTCAGTGCCTTTCTTTGGAATACACAAGAACATCTAATCTTTCTTAGTGTTTTTTAACAAAAAGATCATAACATAGACTTTATATACTCTATAGATTATAAACTTGTTAAATAATACATATGGCAAAAATATTTTTTCAAAGGAACGTAAAATCTGAATATATGTTCACAAATATAAAAATAATTAAGATTACATATCATAATTTTCAAATATACGTAAGTGTAGTAAGAATATACATCTAGTAGAAGTATAGTAGTACTAACGGGTACAACCATGCTATATCATCACGACAAGTAACGTAACCATGTCTAACCCTTATGCTATTATGGTATATCAAGTAGAACCTTTTGTTGAATTTTTAAGTTTTGTTTTGGCATGTAAAATCACTAACCTAACTTCTATTGATAGGCAAAATTATATTCCATGAAAATTCCAAATTGTCTAATTTTGGAGGAGCATCCCCTGAACAAAGATGTGCCTTTTCTATGGACTGAGATGAGGAGACTGAGATTTGTTATTTTTCAGTCTTCTTCTTGGATGTCTAGGACATAACTTTATCTGACTATTTCATCATTTTATTTGAATTAACTCTGGGACAATGCTACATTGATATGCTCGGCTATATGTTCATGTATTGGATGTTTGTTGGAGTAGATGCTAGATGTTTTGACCAGTAATCTTGCTATATTATGTTCTAGGTTGATCTTATTACACCTCATGTAATCAACATTCTTGAAATGAAAAAGTGTCTCACATTGGTTTGTAAAAGCATATAAAGCTATTAGTTGTTTCAAATAACTAAGCTGAGCTTATGATCATCAAGCTAAGCTTCAATAATAACTTTGGATGTGGTTAGCTATTATTGATATTTTTAATTTCTTAATTAGGTTCTACAAAGTGGTTTTATCCACGAATTGTTTTGCAAGGGGAGACATGCTCCCTTCTTCCGTGGCAAATCTTCCAGTTGAAATACTTACTATGGTTATCATGATTGTAAAAAATCCTGAGATAGGACTATTATGGTAAACAGAATTTGCCGCATCTGAGAATCGTATTATTTTTGTCTTAAATAATTATGATCAAGTTATTGTGTAAAAATTGTTTCTCTACTACTCTGAACATATTTTGTCCTTTAAATTTGCATCTTCAATTCGGAGACATGTCTCTCTTGGTAATGGGCCAGTAATTTGGTTTTCCATGCTTCAAAGTTCAAAGTTCAAACTATATCTGATGTTGTCCTTCGACACTCATGGGTCTATATCTTAATCCAGCATGCATGCTTTAGTGAATGTATAACCTTTGACAAAGCATCATGTCAGGGGATTATGGCCTATCAAAATCATTTCATCTTTTAGAGTCCACCTCCTGGACCTATTGAATCTACAACTTATTGATAATGATAATCAAGCCAAAGATACACTCAGTGGAAGGTGCCACTAAATTAAGGCCAAACTTATCCTCCTAAGAATGGAAACTTAGTATCATTGAAGTTTTGAACATAGAAAGACTGAAACCAAGAAAAAGAAAATAGAAAATAAAAAGAAAAAATATACTCTAAGACGGAAAAGAAATACTATATCACTGAACACTCAGTCCAATAAGAATATCAGCCAGGACATTTTTGTATCATATGCAACCTCACTGAGAATTTTGTTGTTCCCCCCTTCCTCCCACTGCCGTCTCCCACCCACCTCCCCCCAAAAATAAAATTCTGTGGAAGAGGAGAATTATTAGGCCATCTCTAAAATGATCACCTTCACCAGGGCCATGAGTAAGAGTGAAAGACTTACATTTGTAATAGGCAAAATAATTATCCATATTTTGTTTAAAAATCTGAAGAATTCAAGCTTATGGGCTTTCGTCCTTAAAGATGTTTCATTTTCTTTCTTCTTTGTATGTATTATGTTTCTGATGCCTTATATGTAATATTTTTCCTTAACCTAGTGCTACTTATATAGTTTCACTATTATCTTTTATGTCATAAGCAGAGACTCTTGTTACAGTCCAAATAATTTGTCAAACCTCATCTCTGTACTTTTGGATAGTTTAATATGATTTAATGTTCCCTTTGTAATCTAGTGTTGTCAGCAAAACTTTGGGATGTATCACTTCTAAATTGAGGCAAGAATTGCATCTTAGCCTACAATCTCCAAACAAAGCAGTCAGATCTATGTGCATGTCATTTTAACTATATAAGAAGAAATTCATTTGCTTGACTTCTGTTAAATTTAAACTGAAAAAAATATTCATGTGTTTCAGTATCCATTTCTTTTTTAATCTAACAATATCTGTATGCTGACTTTTGCTATTCTTATTGGGAATTTTTAGGTAGGGGAGTCTATATGGGCTGAATTTCCTGAGAATGAGGATGATATTGTCCCTTTTCCTAAGGGTGCCGAAGAGAGTACATTATCTATTTTGGGGAATTATGGCAGGAAACAGAGAAATGAAGAAGCAAGCATTGGCTTAAGGTCCAATGAACAGAGTTCAGGATCCAAAAATAATTTTCTGGAGAGTAATCAGGACAATAATTCTACTTTTATTACAAATGAAGAACTTTCTGCTGCACAACTTGATGCAGATTCATGGCCTGATTTGCCTTCTTTAAGCACTGCACTTGATAGAGAATACAATGATCCTTGTAATAGAGGGTCTTTGGGAACACATCTGATGCTTGATATCAGTGAAGCAACAAACCTTGACAAAATGAGAGGTAAATCCGTGTCACTCTAGTGGTGTTCTGTCACATGAATGTGACATGATGAAATAAAATTTATTTTTTGAGCATGTACAGTGCAGCTAGATGGTCCATCTGAAATGTTTGGTAATGACAAAGATGAGAAAGATAATGAGAGTTACCTTGATTGTGACTGGGCTCATATTGGAGATATTGAAGATCTTGACAAAATATTCAGGTATCTCCTTTAACCATGTTTGCTCATTTAGTTTATCAACAAAAAATGTCATTCTTATCCTTGCGTGCAGTGGAAATGACTCCATATTTGGACATGAAATGGTTGGCAGTGCAGCAGAGTTTCTGTCAGCATCTTCTGATGTGGTTAATAGCACTATACAGTCAATTCCTCTGCCCGTAAGTTTGTCTCTTGTTTTAACAAATCACTAAAGCAAACTTATCAATAGCTTACAATTTGTGTTTTTGTTATGGCTTCTTACTTTAGAAAGATGGAAAATTGACCCTGATTTATTATGACAACAGGATATGCCATTAAGCAAGGACCAACATTTTGGCCTGGATCCTTCCTCTTTGCATCTTGATGAACTTTCTTCTGGGAAAGAAATTCCAGAAGATAAGGTACATATATGAAGATTTGATTGTTCTTTAAATTCCTTAGCAGGTATTCCAGTTGGCTACATATCTTATTTACTTCAACAGACAGCAGATAGTACTCTCAGAACTGGAAGCAAATACTGTGAAGCACAAAATCTGTTTTCAAATAAGGTAAATTTTTCTTGACTTCCTCTAAGAATATTTTCCATTTTACATCTGTAGTTCAACATTTCATGTGGACATGGTTAGTGCTTTCAACATGACATGTTCTCACTATTAGCATTTGCAGTCTAATAGCCAAAAGAGACCTCTGATGTCAGATAAAAAAGCTGAAGAAAAAGAGAAGGCTAAACACTTAAAAAACATTAGTGCCACATGGTCCTGCAACACAAACGAAAGCCAGCAACTTCCAAGCTCTACCATGAGTACTTGCTCTGAAACTCCAACAAAAACTTTTCAGACAACAGTACAAAGGCAAGTCAGAGCTCCTGCTAACAATGGACAGCTAGACTCCCCAAATCTGTTTATGTTTTGTGGCGATGGATATGCAGCATATCCTTTCCAACATGTTTATATGAAAAGGAACCAAGAAAAACCACTTTCTTTTGGTCATAAGCCTTTAATGTATTTCCCAAAGAGTTCAAACGCATTAGATAGCCCATCTGATATGGCTTCAAGACAACCGAAAATGACGCCCCAAGAAAAGATAGAAAAGCTGAGAAGGCGTCAGCAAATACAGGCAATGCTTGCCATTCAGCAGCAACAGCAACAATTTGCTCATCCAAATACCGCTATTGATTCATTGGTTCCCCAAGTGTGCTCATCTAGGAAACAGACTCAGGAATCTATGACTACCTCATCTGCAGTCGATGGTAGTGCAAATAAGCTTACATCACCAGAACAGAACATACTATTTGATCAAGAAGAGTCCTGGAGGGTCTCCACCATAAATGAGGATCACTCTCTAGAAGAAATGATATATTATCAGCTTCAAGATGCTCTCGGGCAGGCAGGATTCTCTTTCATGTAGTATTTTTTTCTCATTTGCTTTAAGATCCAAGCAATTTGATCTAATGCAAAAATAGTTGTCTTCTTTACCCAGTTGGACATTAGAATCCGGCTTTGTATTCGAGATAGTTTGTTTCGTCTAGCACGAAGTGCTATGGAAAGACAAAGTGCTAGTGACACAAGTAGTTCGAACAAAAATAGTAGGGATGAAGAAGAGCTTCCGGCATATGATGAGACAAAGAGGCTATGTAGGTGAGTTTACCTAAATAGGGCTTAGTCTAATGTTTTTTCATGATTGGTAATCTGTATTTGCATTAGCTTTCTTGAAAGTCAGTTCTTTTTAGCCATTAATATACAAGTTAACACTTCTTTATCAAACTTTAAATACTTTTACTTGTTCCTTCAAAGAAATTACCATCTACTAACTTATAATCTCATGGATGTTCACAACCTAGGTTTATTCTTTATATGTTTTTTTAATCCTATTCTAAGTATCTTCTCTAATTGGTAGTTCCTTCTCAAAGTTTGATTGCTTTACAATGATATTGTAATTTTCCATGAGTAATCTTACGCCTTTTTTCTCCTAAATCAATTACGGTAAAACCTCCTTCTCAAGCTTTGTAGTTTCTTTACTTTGTTAGACAAGTTTAGTGCCTCTTATTCTCTGGCCCAGTTAGGTATGTATTTTATATCTCATTCTCTAAATGCCTTAAAAAATGTTGTTGTGGATTTCCGCGCTTTATATCCTATAGCCAATGGCAATTTAGCCATTGTAGCATATCAAAGCACAATTGTGTTTATACCCTTCATTTTCTTCAAATCTGTATTGCTTGTGCTTAACCTCTCTATAAGTCTTATATTAATCCATCAAATTTATAAAGATTTAATGTGCAAGATAACCTTTTCTCCATCCCCTTGTATTTTCTAAAATTGAGTTACAAGGAGAATGGTTGGACATGCTAAGAAAAAGAACATGCCTACTATCTTGAATTAAGTAATAGTATTGATAGTACTCGTTTACCATCATCTCATCTTTAAAAACAAATAAAAAGGTCCAAAATTTGCTTTTTGGATATCCACCTTTAAAAAAAAAAACATATTTTCTTTATTAATTCATTGTGATGATGTTTGTCAATTGGCCAAACACCAACTTGCTTCCCTTTCATTGGGCAACAAAAAATTACCTCATTCTTTTACATTTATTCATATTGATGTTCGGGTTCTCTCATGAATCTCATACATTGCTTGAGTTCATTAGTTTGTTTCTTCCATTGATGATTGTTCTCGAGTGACATGGATTGATCTTTAAAAAATAAAAATGATATCAATCTTGTGTTCATTACATTTAATAAAATGATATGGACCTGGATTGGTGTTCATATTAGAAGTCGTGGATTACATAATAGAAGAGAGTACACAAACGTAGTAAATGGATACTCAATGATAGAATTGTGTTATAGCAAGAATCATCATCATCTTGAGGTAACACATGCCATATTGTTAAAAAAGAGGTCCTAAAGCATACTGGGGAGAAGCATTATGGCTGCTACTTGTTTAATAAATCAGGTACCCTCTAGATTTTCCAAAAATAAAGCTCCAACCATTGTTCACTCTTGGTTTTTTTTTCTCAACTTTCATAGATTTAGTCACTTCCTGCCTATGATTTCTGTTGTATGGTGCTCTTATGCTTATCATTTCCTCATCTTAACTTATGGTAAATTTTGGTCAAATGTGTTGAGCTTCATTCTTGCACGTTTATTGCATTGATCGCATTAGTTGCAAATCTCTCTCTCATGCGCATGCACATGCCCAAATATAACTCATGCTAATTCAGTTTCTATTCTTAGCAGAAGTTCAGTGTTGTCGGAGGCAGAAACACATACAAATCCCATCGACCGGACTGTGGCTCACCTGCTTTTTAAGCCTTCAGAACTATTCACAAGACCTGTCAAAGAGGAACTACCACAGTCACCTGTTGCATATGACCCTGGTAATGTGTTATTCTAACTCGGCACAAAAGGATGGTTACTACTTCCAGATTTTCTTTTTGATGCTTTTATTAGAGAGAGATAAACTTCTTTCTTCTTAGAAACACAGAAAATGATTTACTACATGCTGTGATTTTTGGCTCAGTTCCAAACGCATCTATTCACGCTCAAGAAGATTATCCTGGGAACACTGGAGAAATGGAAATGCAACCTTCAGCCTAAAGTAAGATTCATTAAGTTGAAGTTCTTACCAATTACATTCACAATCGTCGCTTTTTCTTGCCTGTGGAACTTGTTTCTGATGATGAGCACTTTTTTCTCTTTCCGTAGTGAATCAGCAGAATGGCGGCGGATGAATGTTCAGAACCATTCAAACATATCAGGATGTGCTTTTGGAGTTCCCTGTTTAGTTGTGAACTACTTCAATGAATTTGGTTTCTCGATCTCCATTGTGTTGTTTCCAGATAACTAAAATGGAGCATCAAAGTCCAACCTTGAATGTTCGTCGCAAATTGTCGTGTCAGATTGCTACTAATGTACTTGTGTATCTAATCTGTCATCTTCAATAATGGCTGCTGCTGGTAGATGATTCCTTCTAAACTAATAACTTAAATCTGACTTCTCGTGAGACGTTATTGATAACCTTTTCCTTCTCCTGGAATATGTTAATCACACTAAATGATCGAGATGGTGTTTCTTTTTCTTATAGTTCCGCATGACATATATCTAGGGCTGTTCATCGTTTAATTCAAACTAAAACTGAATTGGTCCAACAATAGATTCTCTCTTATAGTTAGACCTCCTTAGTATTTCGATCTTTAGGTTTAAAAAATTTTAAAATTCTTATAGTTATGAAAATAAAATATTTAATCATATTTATTCTAACGTCGTCAGTTTTGTTAACGAAAGATATATGTAATATCAGGTACATGAGGGGCACAAAAATAATGGGCAAAAAGATAATTTTAACGATGATAGTAGGTTAATTATAGATTATCACTTATAATTAGATTTTTTTAGCATCTTGATCTTTAGACTTCAAAAATTTACATTTAAATTCTTATAGTTATGAAAGTGAAACACTTAGTCTTAGTTATCCTAACATCGTCAGCTTTACTGGCAAAAGATACAGCATATGAAAGCACATACATGAATGACATCGTACCATTCTGCCTCACCTGGCTCCTTTTCCTCCTCCATTCTCATCATCGGTGATATAGATGCCTCACTTGTCTCCTCTTCCTCTCTCATGTCAATGCAGATGTAGAGCAACGTCAAAGGAGGAAGATGAGACAAACCAGTGCGACGCCAATGTAGATGCCTCACCTCCCTTCACTTCCTCTTCTAGTACCAACGTAAATGCCTCACCACTCTGTCTCCTTTTTCTCCTCATCGTCGATATTCAAATCGACATCAAATTGAAATTATCTTTTTGCCTATTATTTTTATGTCATTCATGCACGTACTATCACGTATTATATCTTCCATCGGTATGATCGACGTTAGGGTAAACGAGGTTAAATGTTTCACTTTCATAACTATGATAATTTTAGTATAAATTCTTTAAGTTTAAGGATCGGGATGTTAAAGAGATCTTACTACAATGAGTAATATGTAATTAGCCTACCATCACTATTGAAATTATCTTCTTTAAGTTTTCGTCTCATTCATGTAGGTACCATCACATGTTATATCTTGCATAAAAAAATCGATAATGTTACGAAAAATAAAATTAAATATTTCACTTTAATAATTATAAATATTTTTATATAAATTTTTTAAATACAGATACCAAGATACTAAAGATGTCTAACTACGGAAAATAATATGTAATCTTTTCTCGTATGTTCTGCTTTAACGTTGCATGCATTTCCCTTTTCACTTATTCTTCCTAGAGCAAATATCTAGGGCTGATCACCGTTTAATTGAGTTAGAATCGAATTGGTCCAAAACTGAAATCGAACAGGGTCAGCATATCGACAGTTCCAAATCGATCGAACCAGATACGAGACCACACGATTTGGTTCCAAAATCAATTGTTACAAATCAATTAAATATAAAAAAGAGTAAAAAAACTTTAAAAAAAATAATAATCTATATTCAAATCTTAATGAAATATTTTATTTTTTTTGTTAATAAAAACCGATGGATTGAATCAGAATCAAAATCCAATGGTTTCAATTCTGGTATCGGAGCCCAAGGGTTCGACGGTTCTGAAATGATGATCACTCTTGCACATATTACAGTATGTCACAGATGATTTGCAATGCCTGTCATAATCATATACTTGGTGCTACAATTTTTTCCGAATTAAAGAACTTATCAAGAAATCAATGGTGAAACTTCACTTATGCAAAATTTACTCGTAACCATCAGCAAATGACGAGTCTCCTCGTCCATTTTGACATTATCTTTCTTCATGCGTTCCGCAACTATCAAAGGCATCTTACCAGCTTTCACATATGTTCTAAGCAATGAATTGTAGATCTCGGTTGTCACGTACCCTGCGTCACGAAGAATTACCAAGAAATTCTCCGCGTCTTCCACATTACCCATTGCTTCAAGCTCGGTAAACACTGCTTTAACTAGTCCAACATTGGGGTCCCATTTCTCCAAGCTTGATAAAGCTTTCTTCAAGCAATCCAACACTTTGTCCATCCTGTTCTTGTGCAAGTTACCCGAGGCTAACAGCTCCCATGTAGTGTAGCTAGGCTTTACTCCTGTTTCAACTATATGCATAAGAAACTTCTCTGCCTTCTCCATCATATCATTCTTGACATAGAAAGCAAGGAGGATGTTTGGAAGCCTCGAATCTTGTGTACCGGATACCGACTCCCACTCTTTGTAGATGCGCTCAGCTTCTTCAATATCACCCAATTTTGTTAAAGATGAGAGCATGCACTTAAATTCCATGTCGCTCATCTTCCTGAATGTGGCTTTCAGTTTATTCCACATTCTGTAAACATTGTCTTTGTCCAATAGGCCTGCATGAAGACTGATGAGAGAGCAATACGCAACTCGGTCTTTTTTGAAGACCCTTTTCTCCATCTCGACCAAGGCTTCTTTTGCTTTATCATGACATGCTGCTTTGATGTATATGTTGGCTAATATGCTGTAAGTGACCCAATCAGCGGTCACATTATCCTTCCCCATCTGATGGAGAACCTTTTCTGCTCCAATCACATCATTTTTCTTGGCAAAAACACTTAACCATAGGTTATAGGTGATTTCATCAGGCGATGCATTCCTTTTCAGGTCTCTCAACAAATCTGGAATCTTATTCAGCTCCCCGTTTGATATGTACAGTGTCAGCATATGGTTATATGGAAGAGCGCATCTGAGCAAACCTTGAGCTGACATTTCTTCCATCAGAGACTCAGCCTTATCAGTCAACTTGCACTGCACATAAGTATGAAGAAGGGCAGTGCAGGTAGATGGGCCCTTCATCCTAACTGGTAGGTCTTCAAAGAACTTCTGTGCGCTAGCCAGACCACAAACCTTTGCAACTAAGTCTAAGTGGACAGCATAATCTCCAGGAAGCAGCTTGATGTGTGATTGAGTGGTCATCCATTCACATATCTGCATTAGTCAATGAAAAGCAATGTCCGCAAAGCAATATGTCACGTAACCAACATGCAAATAATTGATCAACTAGTAAAAAAAGAAACATAATTGAAGCCAGAAGACCTACAGGTTTCTAGGTCACAGACAAGTGAATATGACTGACGATCTTAAAAGAAGCTAAATCTCCAACTGATGATAGCATTAGATATCAAAAATAATATGATGGCAGATTGGTACTCTGGAAATAAAGTACAAGAAAAAGTCAATAAAAGAGCATGTGATAAAAGCAAACAAATGCTGAGGTATTAAATACTGAAGATGTTCAAGTTGTGATACATCTGTGAACATTTAGTTCATGAAAGCAAGGACCAAGGTTTGCAATACCGAATGATACCGCCCAAACCAAGCAGTACATACCGGTCCGCCAGTTGACCGACATACGGACCACCTACTACCGAGTGGTATCAGACTGATTGCAGCGAGGCGAGGCGAGGAAGAAGAGGCGTTCGAAGAAGAGGGAGAAAGAGGGAGAAGCTTCGAGAAATAATACCCAACGTCGCCTCCTCCTCCTCGTTCTTTGTCGTCTTCTTCTTCGCTGCGGCACTCGTTGCCATCGCTCCCTCAACGCCGCAGCACTTCTACTCCCGCTGCCATCGTTCTCTTGACACTGAAGAAGATTGTTCTTCTTCCGCTCCTTCGTTACGGTGCCCGCTGTCATCCCTCGACGCCGCAGCTATTCGCCTAGGGTTCAGGCGCTGCTATGTTATATATTTTTTATATATTTAATATTGTTTTAAGTGCACCATCGTTAGCTATTTTATATTTCTATGATTATATATATATATATATATATATATATTATTTAATATTAAAATTAATTTTAATATTTTTTAAGCATATCGTTCAGTACACTCTAGCGTACCGCTCGGTATACCCATACCATACCATATCGAGCAAAACACGAAACTCTAGTATGGTACAAAATTTCAATCCTTGGCAAGGACTAAGGTTTCTGTTGGACCAATCCATATTGGTCATGAAAGCAAGAAAAGGCCTGACTTCTCTTTACTGCACGTTTCCATAACTTGAAATCTGAATATTGTTATACATAAGTATATCAGTTTCAATATGATTACTACTTGCCTCAACAGGTTTTCTTTAATAATGGCATAAATGGTTAGAAGACTGCAATTAAGCTTAACATGATTACTCAAGCTAAAATATACCTTAGGAAAAAAAATGTGAAAACCAATCTTGTCTTCAAATACGTTCTACTCTGTCACCTTCTCTGTATCATATTTATAGGATGACACTAAACAATTTCTCATAATATACATGATTAAGGTACATAGGTTCACAAAAAAGATAAACAAATCTCGGCATAATAATACAATTTCTCAATTAAGGATCATTTATTCATAAAAAAAAGCCTAACAACAACTACAATTGCAAAAGGACATTATGTACTAAGCTGAGGCTAAAGTTATCCATAACCAACATGAGAGTTCTCTTTAGTTAGAGATTCCAAACAGTCATTTAAATTTCCCATCTTCACATAATATCTATATGGATATCATACCATAAGGGCACCAAGATACGATAACAAAAAACGATAATGTCCCAACTATTAGGGCTACATGGAATTCTTTCCCCTTCATTGTGCATTCTGTAAGGAATTACCCTTATTTAAATTAAGAGAATTCAGATATCTTTTATCATTAATCCTAATTAGTTCACTTTATCTAACCACGACACTTGTGAGTCTTCTTTAAATATGTCCAAACCATCTTAGACAGTCTCTTCATTTTATCATCGATCGGGGATACACCAAACTGTTTGTAAACGAAATTTTGCTTTAAATATCTTTTCTAGTAACCTCATGCATCAGCTACAACATTCTCATCTCATGTACACTAATCTTTTATGTATATATTTTTAAATGGTCCAAAATTCTGGTCCATAAGACATAGCTGGCCCTATAACCATCTTATTAAAATTTCTCTTTGATCTAAGGGGCAGAGGATGGCGACAAAAAAAGCTTCAATGCGCCCCTTCTCATCAATCAACCTGTTTGCTACTATGTGAACAATGTTCTCATCAATCTTTCCATCCTATTAAATAGTAAATCCATGATACTTAAAACTTTTACTTACAAAATCTATTTGTTTATCCATCTTAAGTAAACCCTCAATTATTCCCAAGCATCTATCACGCACCAATTACACAAAAGATCACCACCACTCCAAAAAGGTCCAGATAATGGTTAAATATTTTATTACGGTAGAAGTTAGCATAGGTCAAATTGCCATTAGCCTTAAACTACCTGTAAGCTCCTCTTAGATGTGAGGGAGACCTTATGAAACTCTCAATCCTATTCAATGTGCATGATCATACAATTGACAGGCTTCTAAACGATCTAAACACGAGCATAGCATTACCAGTGGGAATCGATGGTGAAGAAGCAATTGAGGAGGAGGGGTAAAGATGGGACGGGACATACCTCAAGGGCGTGCTTGTAGCGCTTGTACTTGCGTAGCTCTCGGACGACGCGGTTGAGTTGGTACTTCTGGATGGGCTTGTCCTCCTCCGCCCACTTGCGGAGGACCACCACGGCGCTGCGCTTCGGGTAGATAAGGCTGAGGAGCCGCCTTCCGAGAGTGTCCCGGCAGCCGCCGGCTCTCCTTCCCGTCGTCGTCCCCGCGCCGGCTGCCGCTCGGGGGACGAGGGCGTCGGGCAGCGAAGAGGTGGGCCGCGCCGGCGCGTAAGCGGAGCCCAGAAGGAGACGCAAGCGTCGGGCCGACAGCATGTCTCGAGGACTCGACCTTTCGTTCGACGATGCCGGCGTGGGCGGTTACCTGAAAAGCTAAACCCTCGCAATGTTTGCACGAAGATTGGCGTTGATCGAACCGTCAATTGTCGAGACTTGTGGTCTGGCCTGACGACGGAGCTGGATGAATGGGTCCCAGCTGCCGTATTACCCTAAAGTTAAACCCGGGCAATGTTTGCACGAAGATTGGCGTCGATCGAACCGTTAATTGTCGAGCCTTGTGGTCTGGGTTGACGACCGAGCTGGATGTATTCGTCCCTGCTGCGGTATTACGTACCCTAAAGCTAAACCCCGGCAATGTTTGCACGAAGATTGGCGCCGATCGAACCGTCAATTGTCGAGTCTTGTGGTCTGGGTTGACTCAGCGATGAGTCAACCCAGACCACATGGCATTCTCGAGTCACATATCTACATGGAAATAACTTAATTGAGTCAGAACAATACAATCAATGATATCTAACAGAGTCAAATTTACACCGTAATCCAGCGTGTATTAAGGATCGAAGATTCAAAATATTTACACTGTAATCCAACTTGTAAAGATATCAAGTAATTAATGAAGAGATCGATAAATTTAGAAAATATCAGATAAATAACAGGCAAAAATCTCCATCGGTGATGGGGTGATGGTGGAATTGGTTTTAAATGATGGAGGTAGTGGAAAAGGTAATTTAAAATTTAAGAATAATAATAATAATAGTACTTCATTTAAAAAATAATATTTTGATGGCTTGTATTGCTTCTTCTTTGTGGGACATATCCCAAGACTTCCAACAATACATGGCTTGTATTTCTCCCATCCGAACATTAACCTCTTAATTGCACTATATAGGTGAAACTTTTGATGTCACATGATTTATGTCTTGATATCATATGATCGATATTTTGATACTATAAGATCAATGTATCACCATGTTGTGTCATCTCTCGGATGTTACAATCGCGTGTATGATAATATCATATCCTTTCGATTCAAAATCAATCATCTTTTTAAACCCCAATCATGGAGGAGGAGAATGAATTAGAAGACGTTTGAACATTAAGGAGAAGAAAATAAAGGGTTTTTCGAAAAAATCTAGAATGTTGAATACTCCAAAAGCATGAAGCAAGCAAATGAGTCTAGTTTGCTATATATATAAGGGCTAAATGACCCTTGGGCTGCACCCGACAAACTGTTTAGTTTCTCGTTAATTTGATTGGATCGATGAGGTGGCAACATCGAGAATTATGCAGGGCTATTATTATGATATTTCTTAATCTCATATGGCTCAATGTATCAACACATGGAGCTCATTGAGATAATCACATATGAGTTTCAAATAATAATTGATGCAACTATGAAAATGATAGCTTTAAGAAAGTTAAGATAAAACTCGTCATACGATCTATCATATGGCTCAAACTACCTTGACGATAAAGAGAATCATCGAATGATATATCTTAGTCCAATATCTTGAATCCAAGAAACGTTGTTTTTTATGATAGTATAATCGAAATAGTTAAAAGCATTCCATTCGATAATAGTGCAATCTAAATTATCCAAAACACTTCTTTCGATGATAAAGTAGTTGAAATAAGCCAAAATACGTCTTTTGATGATAACGCTATAGAAATGACCCGAATTACTTCTTTCGATGATATCACGATCGAAAATGATTTGAAGTGCTTCTTTCAACAACAGTGCACAACGACCTAAAGTGCTACACTCGATAACAATATGATCAAAATGACTTAAAGTATCATTTGGTGACAGTACAGATAAAATGGCAAAAAAAATCGAAAAAAATCGAAAATATTTCTTTTGACGATAACATAGTTGTAACAACTTAATATACTCCTTGTAATAACAGTTGTTGAATAATCATTTTTGATATGAACACTCAAGCAGAAATTCCATCATGCTTTGATTCTATTACACTGATCGAGACACAAAGTAGGGTGCAAATGATATAGGAATAATTACATGATCAAATCTCAATACCATGTGACTAATGCCTTAATGTCGCTGACACAATTAGCATCTCATGTTATCTCTCATATGTTAGAACTCGACGATATCCTTTAAATTTGACATGACACAATTATATCTGATACTGACAAATATGCATAATTGCCTTCAGCACATGTCACATTCTCACAGTATAGTGGCCCTAAAACCCAAATTTAAAAGATCCTTTGGGTGCATTCCTCCTCCCTCTCTCTCTCTCTCTCTCTCTTTCTTCAAGCTTTGAAAGTATGAGAGAGAGATAAGCACGGAACAAGTTGTCCATTGATTCCATGTTGACACGGAGTCAGACAACGAGAATCTGCTTTAAACCTTTAACCTCTTAGTTGCTCACACTTTATGGTCATTCATTCATAATTTCCTTTTATTTATATGGTATTCACTTACGTGTTTGGATTCGGTTGCACGTATAAACCAGCTTAAATATCTCAAATTGGATCAAATCTCCAAACTTTATCGATTAAATTTCTTTAAAGAATTGTGAGTTTGAATCATGTGATTTGTCTTTCTCACTAGTTGATTACACCGTGATTCGAGATCAGATTCACATATCGAGCTTAATCTAATTTTCACGTGAGATAGAATATTAATTTCCATCAATCCCTTTCTAAAAGCTTCAAACTTTTGGGATCACTTACGATCTAAGCAAAATCTTTATCATTTTTCACAAGTTTAACCGACAAAACTTTTGGGATTACCAACAATTAAAGTTTTATACTGTTAATTTTGCTATCGATCTTTACCAATTAAATTAATTGACATCAAAAAAAATTTAAATCATTAACCTTTGTATATGACAGAGTCGTAGTGAGTTCATGTTGTTAAGAATGAGTTGGCATTAGAGGGGTAAATTAGTATAATAGTAAAAATATCGATTTCATAAAATCTTTATACGATAAAATCGATTTCATAAGATGTAAAATAATTAATGAGAAAACAGTTTGTAGTTAAAGTAAATTACTCAAAAGAAATACAAATCAAATTTTTATAACGGTTCGATCGTTATGACCTACATCCACTCCTGATTCCTCCTCCGTTGAAGCCACCGACATCCACTATCAGTTTTCATTTTGTTTTATGTCTTGCTATCATAATTAATCATGCATACAAAATCTATTTCAATTTAGACAATTAATACTAAGCTTATTAGATGTTATCCGACACGTCATTGGTTCATCGACGTTTCGTCCAATTGTTTGATGCATCGTCCTCTCTTGCGACTTATTGTCCAATCGACCAATTGACCTCCGCAACTTCGATTTTCTTGACGTAATATCCGCTTTTCTTGGCCTAATGCCCGAACTCATGACCCGAAACCTTCTGTCAATATGTGTCGACCGATCATTCGGCTCAACGTCCAATCTTCTAATATATTTTTATCCGGCTTAGTATAATTTTTCATGCTTTAATTGTCTCTCCCGAAGCATCGTACGTCATCCAAAATACAGATTAAATCATAAATATTATCAATTGATTTTATCATCAAAATCCGAAATTTAACCTAATATTTAATACACAATGATTAAGGAGTAAAAAATGAAGATCTTATAAAATCAATATAAAATCATTTAGTGTATATATATATATATTATTTAATAATTATAAATATATATAATTAAATTAGGAAACGCACTTCGATCGATCAGATGATCAAATCACGTTATATTTAATTGCTTGTTCCAATTACAGAAGTATGCGTACGTGGAATGACCACCTACTTCGTTGGACTGTACATATCTTCCGGGCTTTCTATTCCCCAGTCGCCCTCTTCCAACTGACCGTCCGTGGATCCTCTCCAACCATACTAGTATCAGTAATTTCCAGTCCAACATACTCTGACCGTTTACGTGATCTCACATCGGAGCGCTGACAGGAACGACGAATGATGAGTCTTGTAAATAGAATGGTTGGAGAGGATCCGATTTCGTAAGGGCAGAAGAAAAGATTTATATATCTCTCTCTTAATCGTGAAGGAAAAGCCAACCCAACCACCGCGTTGGGGCGCTCGGCAGCGGCGGAGAGACCGCGATGGGGTGCGCGCAGTCGAAGATCGAGAACGAGGAGTCGGTGGTGCGGTGTAAGAATCGGAAGCTGTTCATGCGGGACGCCGTCGCATCCCGCAACGCCTTCGCAGCCGCCCAGGCCGCCTACGCTGTCGCCCTCAAGAACACCGGCGCTGCACTCTCCGAGTTCGGCCAGAGCGAGCTCCATGACCACGGTCAGTCTCATGCCTCCGCCGCAGCCGCTTCTTCCTCCTCGTCCTCCTCCTCCGTCGCCGTTGGGATGAAGCCATCACTCCCTCCGCCTCCCCCTCCTCCCCCTTCCGACTCATCCACCTCCCCTGCCGCCCCCATCCAGCGCTCCGCCAGCATGCCTGCTGACTTCGCGATCTCCAAATCCAAGAAGAAATCCCTCGGCAAAATCCCCGCCGATGCCTCGATCCGAGAGGAGGATGAAGCGGAACACGCCGATGACGATCATTCCGCTGCCAGGAGCTCCTCCCCTGCTCCGCCGCCTCAGCCTCAGCCTCAACCTCAACCTCAACCCGCTCCGCCGGCTCCGCCGCCCTCCTCCGAAACCTGGGCCTATTTTTTTGGGTCAAACGATCACATGATACCGCCCAACCTTAGCCAGCCGGAAGAGACCACATGGAGGGAGACGATAGAGACAGAGCAGGAGAAAAGGGCGCCTCCATCTCCTGTGAGAACCGATGGAGCTCCTGGTGATGAAACACAAGCGACGCCTACAAAGGTTGTCGATGAACCTTCTCCTCCGCCACCGTCAAAGCAAGTCAAGAAGGTTAAGCATGGCGGTTCAGCGGACCACCAGCATGCTGCGTCTGCTGGAGCATCTGAAACGAAGAGGAGCAAAACTCCGGCTCCTAGTGTCAATCTGATTCAGATTTTGAATGAGCTGGATGACCATTTCCTGAAGGCATCGGAGAGCGCTCACGAGGTTTCAAAGATGCTCGAGGCCACTCGGATGCATTATCACTCGAATTTTGCCGACAACAGAGGCAAGCCTCTTTGACCTTTTGAATTTTGCTATTTTTAATT